CTGACTACAGGAAGCCCCAGGCAGAGTTGCTCTGCCCCGGGCTTCCTGGAATCAGCTGCTGATCAGTTTCAGCAGCAGCTGACTTGGGGATGCCTGGGGTTCTTAAGTTGATTCTGTATGTAAGTCAGAACTGGCGGTCAGTTTCAGCAGTGTCTGAATCTGGATGCCAGTTCCGACTTACATACAGATTCAACTTAAGAACAAACCTACAGTCCCTATCTTGTACGTAACCCGGGGACTGCCTGTACAAGCACTGGAAACCAGTCCCAACACAAGAGAAAAATCCCTGTCACAATCCCAACCCAAACCCTAGGTAGCAATGGACCAGGTGAACAGTTTTATACTGCACCCTGTTACAGGGGGATGTTGGGGAAAGCCTGGAGAAGGCCTAAGACCTCTTTCCCCTGCCTCTTCTGGGTTCCTGGACATTTGGGCTATGTCTACACTACAAGGTTTTTGCACAAAAACCTGCAGAGCATCCACACCTCAAATGAGCTCTTGCGCAATGAAATGGGCAGTGAAACGGCAGAACAGAGGGCTTTTTCTGCTGGAGGTAAACCTCCTTTTCTGAGGCATAACTGCTTTTAGCGCTACCGCTATTTTGCAAGAAGGCAAGTGTAGATGCTCCTATGGGAAAAAGCACAGGTGCTCTGATGGCTCTCAGAGCTTTCTTGTGCAAGAGCATCCATGCAGTGTGGATGCTCTCTTGCACAAAAGGACATTGCTTTTGTGATGTGCTTTGAGGTGTGGATGTGCTCTTGCGCAAGAACTTGTGTAGTGTAAATGTAGCCTCATTCCTTTACAGTCTGGACAGAAGTCGGGTGTTGAGAAGATAGTTCTATCTTTATGCTGCTCTCTTGTGTTTATAGCTTAAAATGGTGTCACATGAGGTATGTTAAACTATTTTATTCATTTCATACCAGCAATCACGTGACACTGGCAGAGATTTCTGTTTAGCCTTGTAAATTCCACACAGGGCACACAATGTTCACTTCAGACCCAACTAGCATAATCTACAAATCGAGCTGAAAGCAAACTATAGTCTGGACGGCAGGGTAGGTGACCTTCAGAAACCAAGTTATCACCGCTGTTCCCTGTACCTGCAGGAGACAGCCTAAGGGAAAATTCTTCAGAGGAACCTTACTGAATGTTTCAAACCCCTTCTCCCACACTTTATTCTGTGGGCTCTTACTCAGCAGGGGGCATCTGTTACATGGACACTCATTAAACTGCAGCTAGGCTCGTAAACATTCAATAAGATTTGAGTATCCATATGTGGTAGTGCTGAATGCAGATTTAGGCTCCTATTGAAAAAGCAGAATTGGAGATGACCTTCTTTGGAACATCTCTGGGTCTGATCTATCCACAGATTAACCAAACATTTTAATGATGTGTAGGTGTATACTAACATTGTTCTTTCTGACAGTTTAGTTCCTGATGGGAGATCAAGACATTATTATAGAAGTCCCTGCAACACTGAAGCGGCTGGCCAAATACATGGTGCGTGGCTTCTATGGAGTAGAGTATTCACTGGTCCTTGACGTATTGATCCGATACCCCTGTGTGAAGGAGGATGACTTGTTGCTGCTACTCAAGTATGAACGCAAACAGTTGCGCACTGTCCTCAACACACTGAAGGCAGACAAACTTGTTAAGCTGCGCATGCGAGTTGAAACAGGGCCCAATGGGAAGAGTACAAGGCATAATTACTACTACATCAACTACAAGGTACTGGTTGATGTTGTGAAGTACAAGCTGGATCATGTGCGTCGGAAGATAGAAGCAGATGAGCGGGATTCAACCACCAGGTCCTCTTTCAAGTGTCCGTCTTGCTTCAGCACTTACACAGACCTGGAAGTAAATCAGCTCTTTGACATATTCACAGGTATTGCAGCTAGACTGTTCATCTGCTCTCATCCTGCAGGAAATCATTGGCAGTATTAAATGCAGCTACACCTGTGTGCCTTTTGTAATAAAAACAGGTTGGTTGGATTTTGTTTGGACTTTTGACCACCAAAAAGTCCAAGGAACTAACTGGGCTTATAGAGTGGGTTGTGGTAAAGAGGGAGGATATTCTTGTAGCTAAGATACAGTACTGGGATTAGGATTCCCAGGGGTCCGACTTTTGAACTGGACAGTCCAGTATTTGAGCTTTCTGATCAGGAAACCAATTGAGACATTATAAATGTCTGGTATTTTCTAAATAAGATGTTATGTAGATTGCAATGTAATGTCAAGTGTGTCCTATATTTTTGTTGAAACCATCTGGCAACCCTAACAGGGATTCAGATTTTAGTTTCAGTTCTGCTATGGACTTGGCCAAGTAGTGTAACCAAGTCATGTGTGTTTTAACTTCCTCGCATGTAAAATGTAAGTAAGTTGCTCATTTCTGAGGTTAAATTAATGATTGTACGTGCATGAAGATCCTGAAGCAAGATACTATTAGGAATTAATGAAGTACAGTATTTCAATTTGTTTTAACTAACAGTAAATAATCTCAATACCAGAGAGGGGGAGGGTATAAGCATCTCCTTTCTACAGACAGGGCAACTGAGACACAGGTCCATGTCTTCCAAAAGCCATGTAGCAAGTGGGGGGCTGAGCTGTCAATAGAGCTTGGGAGTTTCTTCAAGCCAACGGAACAAGAAGTTGCATTTCAAACTGGCTGGACAGCTCAGCCCCTGACTTGCTACATGGCTTTTGGAAGACTCCGTCTCTCAGTTGCTCTGTCTGTAGAAAGGAGATGTTTATACCACCCTTCCCCCTCTGTTTTAACCAACAGTAAATAAACTCAACACCAGACTGAAATACTATACTTTATTAAATTCCTAATAGCAATCTAAGGGCACTTACACTATGGACAGCTGTAAGGATGGATGAACAGAGCCTGCTTTGTTTTGTTGTTTGTTTATAAATAAGATTGGAAGGGAAATTTGCAGTGCTGTGTGCTCGCAAAATCCTCTGGCTTGTAAACTGAACAAATTTAATCTGTAATCCTTGAAACAAAGATGGAAGCTGCTGGTGGTAACAGTTTGGGAGTAAGACTATATACTTCAAACAGGTTGCTTGAGGTAAAAGTACTGGTTTTCATGCACGGCTTAGCTAGAAATCACTCCTGTACTTAAAAGCACACTGCTTTAATATCAAATCTACTTAAAAATATTTTACCTCTTCTTCCATGTTACTCATGTTAGATGTAGATCATGTTACATCTAAGATGAGTGAATGAGTATAAGATCTACAGAGAGAAGAAACTGACTATACAGAAGATTTTGCCAAATGCACAACATATCTCTTTCCTCTCATCATTTGTGTGGATCTTTCGTGTAGCGAATGTGTGCAAAATCAGATGCAAATGTGAATCCTTAAATTGTTCCTGAGGATTCAGAGGCAGGAACAATATCAGCAACTTAATTAATTTTTGGAAATTAATGACTTCAAGTTTATTTTTAATCCCTTCAACCAGTATAACCTGTTGTAGCACAAAATTGAGTTGATTTTTCAAAAAATTTATTTGGGTAGCAGATTCCTTGGTAAAGATCACTGCTAAACTTTTTTGCATCTTTTAGTAACACATGAATTTCAAACTGGGGTTATGTTGCAGAAACTTTCCGTTGCACCTACTGTAATGCTGAAGTTGAGGAGGATGCTTCTGCACTTCCCAAACGAGATGCTCGAACCTTGTTAGCAAAATTTAATGAACAAATTGAACCCATCTTTGCACTACTGCGTGAGACTGAAGATGTTGTTCTACCGCATGATTTGCTTGAGCCTCAACCAACAGAAATCCCAGAACTATCAGAAAGGTATTTTGAGAAATGCCTTCTCAATACAAGTTCTAATGTAAGGAAGCAAGATGTTTTCTGGCTCACTTCAGAGAGTAGCTTGAGCTGAAATTGTAATCTTTCCTTCTACGTAAGTGGAGCACAAAGTAGACAAGATCAGGAGGCAAAATGATTCTCGTTAGAATCAAAACTTGACTTTCAGAAGTCCACTAAGGCCTATTTTTACATAAGGAATTTTAGTTCTGATAGCTGTGCATCTAAGCTTGCTTTTGTGTGTGTGTGTGTGTGTGTGTGTGTGTATGCCCTCTTTACCAGCCTATCCCTTCTCTGTATTTGCCTAGGAAGTTGCTACTACATGATTTTATAGGCTCTCCTTCCTGCCTCTTATTTTTTCAATGCCAATCTCTTCTTTCTATTTCTCTCCAGCCCAGTTACTTGCTCTTTTGCTCCCAGAACCTTTCACTTGTCTTAATTTTCCATTCTACATTCAAACATGCCATTATTTTCATTTTCTTTTTTTTTTTAAACCCCACTGGATTCACTCTCGCAGAACCTTTTTTTCTTCTCTCGTTTGACCTCCATACCTTGGGTAAGCAGCCTCCTATTCTTTTGCCACATGGCTTTCCCCAACTTTCCTTCACTGAAATGACTCTTGCCTATGTTCCTCCTCATTGCTGATACTGTTACCAATGACTCCCAAATCTGCCTTATCAGGTTTTTTTTGTGAACTTTGCCACTTAAGTCCCATCCTCTTCCCTTTCCACAATCTTTCCTATTGCCCAAGCTTGTAGGTTTGATGTCAAATTTGATTCCTCTCTGCCTCCTTTCCAGCACTCTAGGCCCTCAAGCACATCGGCTTCCTTTTCTACATTTCCTAAATTCCAGTCCCAAAACTATTCATTGGTAAGCTTTGCTTTCCTAGACTACTGCTATTTATTCTGTACCTACTTTCCAATTTCTATCTTCATCCCTATTTAGATCTTTGCCTGCACACCTACCAACATCTCCTTGTCACCTCTAAACTTTATCATCCTTTCACAAAGCCTAGAATATCTTTAATGCTTCTGTGAAACAACTTCCTACTGAATAAGTGCCAAGTTCCATGCATGGATGCTAATAATTCTAAAATCCTCTGCTATGCAATATTCTAGTTTCACTGCTCTATTTCTACACTATTTGTCTTGTTCTGTATTTAACTACTGCTTAACGTACAGACCTGTCTTGTGTTTGGCATATCTATAGCAGGTGGCACTTTAAAAGCTCCTTAAGTAGTGAATGTGAAATGTGTGTATTTACCTGTCAAATGCATCTTATTCACTTTTTTTAAAAAGCAAGAAGAGAGGTCTTTCCATATCTTACGTTATATTTCTCTCGATACTTATGTTGGCTACTCTCTCCTATATTTTGCTCTCTACTGTGGGAGAGTGTATGTACTACTTCACACAAGTCAACCTGTAGCATTCCATGCCAGAATGTTGTGATGGTCAAGACTAAAACAGGGTTCAAAAAAAGAGCTAGAAAAAATAATGGAGGATAGGTTAAGAGAAGCAAGGAGCTATTAGCTAGGATGTGCAAGGATGGTGTCCCTAGCCTCTATTTGCCAGAAGCTGAGAATGGAGGATAGGGGATGGAATCACTTAATGACCTGCTTTGTTCATTCCCTCTGGGGCACCTGGCATTGGCCACTGTCAGAAGCTAGAATACTGGGCTAGATGGACCTTTGGTCTGATCCAGTATGTCTGATCTTATGTCTTGTGGGGGGGAAAAATGTGAATTCTGACAATACTCTTGATGCAAAAATGTATTTTAGAGGAGGGTATGCAGCTATTAAGGACTCAGCACTACATACATTAATCATGCATTGGGAAGGAGAATTTTATGTTAAGTGTGGCCAGCTACATCACACTTTAATCTTCTAAGTTTCTTTGATTGTGAGGTGGTGGTGGTGGTGTGTGTGTGTGTGGGGGGGGGGGGCAGGGAGGCTTTTAAATACGTGGGCATTTGAGAGTGATACCTCCCTCCAAGCAAGAATTACACTTTTTTTTTTCCCTTCAGCTTTGAACAGAAGGTATGTTCAAGCATCCTGGACTCCAGTAGCCGTCCTGAGAAGTGGGCTAACAAGAATTCATCTGTCAATAATATGTATGTTCAAAACTTGGTCATTGAGGTCCAAGATTCTGAGCCAAAGAAAGAGAAAGAAAAGGTGACTAAAGAACATCCTATATGGATGTCACAAAGTACTGTAGAGGGAGCATCTTCAAATACTACTGACACCAATGTTGGTAAGACAAAGTTTGAGAATCTAAGACTGGAATATATGCTTGTGTTTTCAATGGCCATCTGGTTAGGGTTGTGCTATAACTAATTCTCCCCTCGGCCTCACTTTAGTAGGTGGATGCTCAGCACTTTTGAAAACTGTCTTCATGTAGGTACCTAAATACAACTTAAACTTGCTTCCAGAACCAAGTTCTAAAAAAACCCTGTCTTTAGTAGCCTTAAGTTTTAAAATAACTACTTGTTACATAGAATCCATTATTGTAAAGCTCTTCCAGTACCTTCAAAGAGAGACCTCTGAGAATAGAGGGTTCTTGATTGCAGCAGACAAAAGCATAACAAGAGTCAATGGTGCTTAGTCGTGGTATCTAATCGTGGAACATCTTGCCAAGGAATTTGGTGATTTGTTTCATCCCTTGAAGGCTCTCAAGACAGAATGAATCTTTTAGAAAGACACCCAAACTCAATCTGAATCTATGGTATGAGGTAAGAGTAGTTGATACTACTACTTTCTCACCTTTTACAAATATAAATCTATACAGGACCAGATTATTCTTAGTCGTGGTATCTAATCGTGGAACATCTTGCCAAGGAATTTGGTGATTTGTTTCATCCCTTGAAGGCTCTCAAGACAGAATGAATCTTTTAGAAAGACACCCAAACTCAATCTGAATCTATGGTATGAGGTAAGAGTAGTTGATACTACTACTTTCTCACCTTTTACAAATATAAATCTATACAGGACCAGATTATTCAAATGGTAATTCAGTGTGTTCCCTAGCCTAGAAACACTTTAAAATGTACTAACTTTCAAAAAATGCTGAGCACCCCCACCACTCTTTGAAAATTGTTCCTTTTTGAACAGAGACTCCTGACTCACTAGTAAAAACACTGACATCAGCCTCCAATAGTTGAACATGAGAGGCTTGGGTTGTTCTTTTATGAACCAAGATGTGAAGATTAAAAGCAATATTCTGTATATAATGCTGGAGATCCAGTCTATTGATTAGAAGGAAATAAGCATTAGCCAGAGGAAAAATCATTAGACTAGTTGAATAAAATATGATCCTTTTCAGAATTTCAGTGGGGGGGGGGGGG